TCTACCATTGAGTCACACTCCCAGCACCAATACAATTATACTTTTATTGTAGCTGTCCTTTACTGAGAGCTAATTAAATGTGGAGCAAGTGCTTTAAAGGAATTATCTCAGTTCATTCTCATGGGAAAGATGCGGTTATTATTTTCAACATACAATTGGGGACAGAAGCTTTCCAGAGTTCTGCTTTCAAAAAATTCGCCTGGAGGGATGAGAAGAATAATAAACATAAAGTACTAAGTGCTCCAGTGGAGAGTGCATAAGAAGAACTGCTTTTAGCTGGTGGCAGGAAGGAAAGTCTTCCAGAGGACAAGATGCCTGCCTTGGATTTAAAAGAGGAGTTTGCAGGGTAGAGAAGATTGGAAAATATTGCTAGCATCTCAGAAGACTCATATGACATGAGTTGAAGATTAGTGAGACTTTTATAAGTATTTTTTTTCATCACATAACACACATTGCATAGTTCCTTGTTTAAATAAAGATCTGGCTTGGGCCAGGAGGGAACAACTGTTTGAGTTTTCATGAAGTGGGGGAGGGGGCTGGAGTGCTGCAGGGATTGTAGAATCAGCATATTGGCTAGAACTTTGTTACTCATTTATCTGTTGAACACTTTTTGGCCTTAACAAGTCTCTATAGAATGTATAAATGTCTGGGAGACTTCATACTTATTAGGTTATGGCTGAGTTATTACACTTTGGTTAATAAACACTAGACAGGAAGTCAAGAGTGGCAATGGGACCTGCCTGAACAGAGGGATGGCTTCAAAATGGGGCAAAGGGCACTAATAAGGGAGAGGGGCACCCAAACAAGTTGTCTACGTAATATTTTACTTTTTGGACCTGAAAAATGTAAGAAAGTACTTTTGAAAGCAAGCATTGTGGTTCAATATTTTCTTATTATTTGCCTATTCTGTCAGCATCCAAACTCTCATTATTATTGATATCCTGATCTCCCATGAAGCAAACAAATGAATTAAGGGCGTCACATGAATTTTTTGAGGTGTGGTTTCCAGTACACAAAAACATTTCTTTAAAAAAAAAAAAAAAAAAAACCTTTGTTTTATTTTATGTGGTGCTGAGGATCGAACCCAGGGCCTTGCCTGTGCTAGGCAAGCACTCTACTGCTGAGCCACAACCCCAGGCCCAAAACATTATGATTCTACTCTACATGTGTCTATTAAGTGTATAAGAGCATGTCTTAAAAAAGTGTATACTTGAATTCAAAAAACTTTATTGCTAAAATAATGCTAACAATCACCTGAACCTTCAGACAGGGGCAATCTTTTTGTTGGTTGTTTTGATGTTGATGGCTGTTGACTCATCAGGGTGGTGGTTCCTCAAAGCTGTGGTGACTGGAGCAATTCTTTCTTTCCTTTTTTTTTTTTTTTTTTTTACATTTGCTGCATTGGTCAACTCTTCCTGTCATAGAAGATTTCTCTGTAGCATGCAATAATATTTCATAGCATTTTATCCACAATAGAGGTTCTTTTGCATTTGAAACTAATTATCTTAAACCCTGTCACTACCTTTTTTTTTTTTAAATGTTTTTTAATTTATTTTGGGTCTTCATCTCTGTTTCCTAACATCCTTGGAATTTTGAGAGAGGAGAGAGAGAGAGGGAGAAAAAGAGAGAGAGAATTTTTTAATATTTATTTTTTAGTTCTCGGCGGACACAACGTCTTTGTTTGTATGTGGTGCTGAGGATCGAACCCGGGCCGCACGCATGCCAGACGAGCACGCTACTGCTTGAGCCACATCCCCAGCCCACCCTGTCACTACTTTATCAGCTAAGTTTTGTAATATTTTCCATCCTTTCTTGTCATTTCGACAGTATTTACAGCATCTTCACCAGGCGTAGTTTCCATCTCAAGAAACCACCTTCTTTGCTCATTCATGAGAAGCAACTCCTCATCTATTACAATTCATCATGAGATTGCAGGAATTCTGTGAAATCTCTACATTCTACATCTAATTCTAGTTCTCTTACTGTTTTTACCATATCTGCAGTTACTTCCTCCACTGACGTCTAGAGCCACTGCATATCAACCATGAGGGTTGGAACCAACTTCTTCCAAACTCCTGTTACTATTGAAATTCTGATCTCCCATGAGGCATTAATGTTCTTATAGTGTTAAAAGACAAAATTACAACAAATCTAGATTTGCACATTGTTAATTGGCTTCATTTGTAATTCTAGAATCAGGGAACAGTCTGGACCAAAAATAGTTCAGAATGACCTCTTCTACCAAATGGTTGGGGTTATATTTATAATCAGAGTATGGAAGTGATGTACAGAAAATGAAAGCAAGGCACAGAAATAGCTCAGCTGATTATAGCTCACATTTGTCTTATTTGAACATGGTTTGAACACTTTGCCACTTATGATATGCTGAGATTCAGCTACTTATAAGAGTAGGTTACAGTCTGTTCATGTATCAAATTAGGTTATATTTCATTATGTACAGAAAAACCTTCAATTCTTTTGGTTAAAAATGTACAGAGACAGCTTAAGCTAAACTTAACAATGGCATTTAGAATGGTGAAACCTTTCCAGAAGTCTTCAATTTACTTTTCCCAGCTCCATCAAATAAATCACTATCTATAGTAGCTATAGTTTTTCTAATGTTTCTAAAATAGTAAGTCTTGAAAGTTCAAATGACTTCTTGCTTCATGGGTGGAAGAATGGATATCATGAAATCAACATTGATTTCATTTTTTTTCATAATTTCATTCTCTATTCTCTGTCAGAAATATTTTAAATGAAATATTTTTTTTTCCTCTGAGCAATAGGTTTCAGCAGTGAGCAGTAAAAAGTAAACTATGCAGTTACCAAGGCTTTGTTGTTCCATTTGTACAGTGTTGGCAGAGAAGATTTAGTGTAATTCTTAATGGCCTTAGGAGTTTTGGAATGATAAGTAATCACTGCCTTCAATTTAAAGACACTAGCTACATTAGCCCCTCATAACTGAGTCAGTCTGTCCTCTGAAGCTTTGAAGCCAGGCATTGACTACTCTCCAGCTAACAGTCCTAGACACATCTTCATCTAGTACAAGTCTATTGTGTCTGCATTGAAGATCTCTTCTTTAGTGTAATAACCTTCTTTAATTATTTCTGCTAGAACTTCTGGATAACTTGCTGCAGCATCTACATCAGCACTTCTTGCTTTGCTTTGCAGTTTTATAAAGATGGCTTCTTTCCTTAAGCCTCATGAACCAACCTCTCCAGCTGCAGACTTTTCTTCTGCAGTTTTTTCACCTCTCTCAGCCTTCCCTGAATTGAAGAGAGTCAGGGTTTTGTTCTGAGTAGGGATTTGGTGTAAAATAAGTTTGTGACTGATTTGACTTTTCATGCAGAACACTAAAGTTTTCTTCACAAAATCTTTTGTCCTATCTCATCTTTCTACTAGGCCTAAACATTTCTAGCTTTGGATTTATTTATTTATTTATTTTTAATGTTTTCTTAGTTGGCAACAAACCTTTATTTTCCTTATTTATAAGAGAATCAAACCCAGCATCTCACATATGCTAGGCAAGTGCTCTACCACTGAGCTATGTATGTCCCCAGCCCTCTAGCTCTGGATTTAAAGTGAGAGGTGTGAACTCTTCCTTTCATTTGAACACTTAGAGGCCACTGTCAGGTCATTACTTTGCTTATGTTTGATGTTGCTGTACCTTAGGGAATAGGGAGGCCTGAGGAAGTAAAAACAGATTGTGGACTGGCAGGTAGGTGGAGTAGTCAGAACACACAAACTTTTATTGGTCAATTTCAATGTTTTAGAATTGGGATTTTTGCAGAGTAGTATAGAATTTGCCTAGCCTGGACAAGACCATGGGTTGGAACCTTAGCACCACAAAACCAAAAACAAAACAAAGTTTATTGTTTTATATGCTGTAGTTCGGTGCTCTTAAAACAATTACAATAGTAATATCAAATATCATGGATTACAGAACATAACAGATACAATAATAATAAAAAATTTTGAAATACCACAAGAAATACCAAAATGTGACAGAGACATCAAGTTAGCACATGCTGTTGGAAAACTAGCTGTGATAAACTGATTTGATGTTGGGTTGCCACAGACCTTCAATTTGTGAAAACAAAACCAAAAAAAAAAAAATGATTTCTGAAAAGCACAATAAAGAGTATTATGCCTTTAATTTACAAAGGGTACTAGAGTGGATCCCAGGGAGCTTCAGAGTTTAAGTGCTTCTCCCTCCTGAGTAGTGGATTTCCTATCCCTTTGGCCTGGTAATTCAAATTCAGGCAAATTTAGTGGAAGTACTTCCAAAGGTTAAAAAAATTTGGGGCTGGGATTATGGCTCAGTGGTAGAGCACTTGCCTAGCATATGTGAAGCACTAGGTTCGATTCTCAGCACTACATAAAAATAAATATATAAAAATTCTCATCAACAACTAATGAAGATGTGTGTGTGTGTGTGTGTGTGTGTATATATATATATAAATAACAACAATAACAAAGGAAAAAAACTTGGGGTTTGGGATGTAGTTCACTGGCAGAAGCTTCTCTACCATGTTCCAGGCCCTGGGTTCCATTTCCAGCATCAAAAATGTAAAACAAATCAAAACCCGACAAAACAACAACAAAAACCCTGAAAAACAAACCATCAAAAGCTAAATTATTTTCCTTTAAACTTATTATGTACTTTTTTTGAGGACCATGTTTTCTTGTCAAACTAGACTCAAATACCCATGACTATGGGTATATCAATTTTTTAGAAATTTGATTATTTTTTGTGGTCCTGAAGATGGAACCCAGGGCCTCCTTTTTGCCCAACATATGCTCTACCACTGAATAATACCTTCAATCCCCTCATTAGTGTTGAAAGCCAATTTTGAAAACACTGCTATTGTGGTGAGGCCAGCTTCAAACACACCAGGACCTTCTGGAAATCACTTGTTTCCAAGACTTGGATTAAGTGAAAAGAGCTATTTCCCATGAATCCGTGATACACAAGGCATTGTTCTCCCTTGTTACTCACAAGGACACTGGCCAGAAGGGAGCGGTGACTGGAATTGTCTTTGGCCGGCTGCAAACTGCCCCCACGCGGCCCGGGCCATGCTGCAGCACAGGGTCTCACGTGCCTCTGCCTGTGCGGGGCCAGGTAGCAGCGCTCGCCTCCTGCGCGGTCACTGCGCCCGCCCACGGGGATCTGCGGGCTGGGCCAATCCACGGGGCTGTCCCCGGCTGCTCGGCTGTGTGCTGGCGCGCGCAGGGCGAGCTCGGGGCGAGTGGCGCAGGCGTCTTAGCCTCCCCGCGGCCATGGAGCGGCTGAGGTTGCCCCCCTTCGGCGCCGCGGCGGTGGACGAGTACCTGGAGTACCGCAGGTGAGGCCGCTCGGGGCTCACGTCCCGCCTCTCTACCGGGCGAGAGCGCCGGGCCCGGCTCGGTCTCCCTTGCCGAGGGGGACTGGTGGCGCTGGCCGAGACCTGCTGCCGGGCTAGCGCTGGGGATCGGGGAATCTCTTCCCAGGCTGTTGAGGGAGGCCTAGATTAACTTGCTGAAATTAAATATGCTGACCCGGAGTTCCAGGCAGCCATCGGGGTCTGCCGCGGCGGGTTTGCCTCCCCTTCCAAGAGGGATGTTAACTATATTCGTGCAGAGCCCCGTGGTTTCCCCCACTCCTATGTGGCCCCTGGAGAATCCCACACTGAGCACACTCAGTTAGCAGACCCCGAGCTCGCACGTTATTCCAGCGTTAGGGCAAGTCGTGAACTTGGAACGTGCTCCCAACCCCGAGGTCCTGGTTTGGACAAAAGCACCCCAACGGGTGTGGTTTTCATGGCTTTGGAGTCTTGTATCCCAAACAGGAAACAGCCTCTCCTTTGGCTTGAGGATGTGATTCACTGTCAAGGCTCTGACAAAGGCTGAGGCACTTGGATGGAAGGATTTTTAACCCTCCTTCGCACCTCCCCCATCTTCTAACAAAAAAATGTTGACAGTTGGAAAACAGAGGAATGGGGAATACCGAGGGGACTGGCAGAAGGATGAGAAGTTGAAGGGGAGAGTTGTGCATGTACGGATGATAGGTGACACAATCCTGGCTGGGCTTGGGAGACCTAAGCAGAAGGCGACTCTCCCTAAAGCTGGTTACTCTAAAGGTCGGGCGAGGGTGTGGGGAGCACAACAACGACTGGGGATGGGTCCTGGGCAGATGGGTTCTCTGGCGGATGGGTTTCTCAGCTGACTGCTAGTTTAGAAGTGACTGAAAATTCTGAGCTGGAATGGTGAGATTGTGGAGGGAACTTGATGGATCAGTCCCCATGTCCTCTTGGGTGGGTCTGGGTAAGGCAGGTTATAGAAACTACACTCAGCCCTTACCCAGGGCAGAACCGGCTCCTGTAACCTTCGTGTTTTTGTGCTTTTTCCCTGGGAGCAAATTGCTGAGCCCTGGTGTTGACTAATGTTAGAAATACAGAAGGGCATGCCACCAAAGAAAATCTCCAGCAAGCACACTGGGAGCAGGGAGGGCAGTCCACCTGCTTTTATCCCTAAGGCTGTGCTTGTCCTGGTAGGAGGAGCCTGGGGTTATAATCTACGTGACTGGCTAATTTTACAATCAGGGTGGGCAAAGGGAAGGACTGTAGGTAAAATGGACTTTACATCCCCCAAAGGCTAAGGAGTGTGTTTTGAAACAGACCACTGAACTTTCTATTTCTCACAACTGAGAACTTAGATATTTAGATGTTTGGATTGTGGGCCTCCGCTTGTCCCTTGCCCAGAAAGTGCTAAGGGAAGGCCTGTGGATATTATTTTTGCAAGCATAAATAGCACCAACATTTCTCTTTAATAAAAAGGGATTATCAGATCCCTTGTTTAACATCAGGATTTGAGAAAGGCCAGGAAAACCGGACTTGGGTGCTTAGATATGAAAGAGGATCTGTGAGAAGGGTCAAAAAGATGAGTGTCCATCAGAAATGAAATTTTCTTCCTCAGTTTTCCTTGATTTGGTCATGCCTAACTGTTTTCGGGGGAGATAGATGGGAGGGGAAGTGTAGAGTCCTTGCTGAAGTGCCTGAAGCTGAGAACTGTAATATAGATATGACCAGGGAGCTTGCTGGAAAAGAGAATCTCAGGCCCACCCCAGATCTAAGAATTTGAATCTGCATTTGAAGGAAACCTCCTGGGATCTGGAAATACAATAAAATTTGAGAGGCACTGGTTTAAAATTTGAAAAACAATCTCTTCCTTAAAAGATCTGCACTTAGTCATGGGAATCCTGTAGTAAGTTCCAGGTCAGCCTAGACAATTTTGTGAGACCTGTCTCAAAATTTTAAAAAAGGCCCAGGAATGTAGCTCAGATTTAGGATGCTTGTTTAACATGTGTGAGGTCATGATTTAAATCTCCAACTCTGGGAAAAAAAAACATGGTTTATTTTAAGATCTTTCTGTGGGCCGCGGTTGTGGCTCAGTGCTAGAGGGCTTGCCAAGCATGCGTGAAGCACTGGGTTCGATCTCGGACCACATAAAATAAACAAAATAAAGGTATTGTATCCATCTAGTAATATAAGTGTAAATAAATAGATAGATAGATAGATACCTTTCTGTTTTCTGTAGGTATTCTTCTTGAATGTAATAATAAAGTGTAATTATCCTCAGTTTTCCTTGGAAGAAAATGTCTTTTGGACAGAGGTGTGGTTGCATGCCAGCAATCTCAGCAAATTGCCGGGCTGAGGCAGGAAGATCTACAGGTCCTGGGTGGCCTGTGCAATATAGAGAGAAGATGTCTCAAATTAAAATATGAAAAAGGTTGTGGATGTAGCTCAGTGGCAGAGTACCTCTGGGCTCTGCCAAAACAAACAACAACAAAAAGAATAACAAAAAAAAAAAGTTCTTTTTTTCTATTGTATATCTTAATTGCTTAAATAAGGAAGAAGGTTGAAGGATTTCATAATTGTTTTTTTTATTTTGTACCTCAACTAACAGTTTCAAGTTCAGAAAAATGTAGGTATTCCATAAAAAAGTTATGCTGTGTTTTACAAATGACACTTTTTATGATTTTTAGAAGCTAGGGGGCATTTTCATGGAGAAATGTCTTCCTCTTTGAAGACCTTTGTTTGGTTGTACCTTCTTTTCCTCCAGAAATTGTGATGGCTTGATTTTTCCCATAAAATTTTGGAATCTGAAATTAAGCAATGAAACACCTAATTGTCCAATACCCAGGTATCGGTATGAGCCTGTGCAAATCCAAGCATGTTTTTAGAACCTACATAAATTTAAACTCCTGGCCAGGGCTTAGGTTCAGGTATGGAATTAGTCATGTTGGCTTCTTCATTGATTTGTTGTTGTTGGTACTATTTTTTTAAAAGACAAAAACATTAGATTTTCAGCAGCTTAGGCTCTCGATTTTAATGAGAAGAACGAATCTGTCTGACTCAGAGTCACAGGAGAAACTGAGATAAATATATAGTAATCTTCCATTGATATGCCTTAATCAGTAAAGGCAGATGGTATGAAATCATTGACTTTTAATTTATAATCCTTTGTTATCAGGGAATAGCAGGAGAGAAAAGATTTCTTCAGTCATCACTAGGTTCATGGCTGAGATACCTATGATAAAAGACAGATTAACAAGAGAAAAGCTTGCCAATTTATTTCAGTTTTATAAGACCCTTCAGAAGTGAAGACCCAAAGAAACAGGAGATCTTGTGCGTTTTTATGCTTAGGTTTGATGAAGAGTGGATAGTCCTGGAGAAGTATGACCAAAGGACAAAAGGGTGTGTCCTAATGGTACAAATTGGGGAGCACTTAGTAAGGCCTATTCGTCAGATTCTTCTCCCTGTCAGGGTATCTCCTCCAGCATGTGCTTTTCCTCCAGGTATGGGGAGGGGACCTCTGGAATGACTGATGTATGACCTACTGCAGGGAAGAAGAACACAGGGAAGGTGAAAGTGGCCTTCCTGCTTCTGCTGCTTCCTCAAATGCCAAGAAGTCATGTTTTGGGGTAGCATGGCTGAATGCCATCAGAAGCAAAGTTTTATTATCATTGTTTGTAATGGGGCTCTTAATAGGTGTCTAAAACAAAACAAAACAAACAAAAAAACCTCAAAGCAGCCTTTCCTTTACCTATACAAGTATAGTTTTAATTAGGGTTTAGTATGTGTAACCTAGAACATTCTCAAGGATAATAAGACCAATGTTTTCTGTTGTAGAATTGTTGGTGAGGACGATGGAGGGAAACTTTTTACTCCTGAAGAATATGAAGAATACAAGAAGAAAGTTTTACCTATGCGCTTACAGAACAGGTTATTTGTGAGCTGGCGATCACCAACAGGAATGGATTGTAAACTCGTTGGCCCGGAGACACTGTGTTTTTGTACACATAGGTAACATAGTTTATTGCTATTTTCTCATGACTAGAAAATAAGAACAATAGCAAAACATATTCTCCTTCCATAAGTAATAATGTGATGATTAAGAAACATTTAAAAATAAGCTTTGGGATGGGGCTGTAAATTAGTGGCAGAGTGCTTGCCTCACAAGTGTGAGGCACTGGGTTTGATCCTTAGCACTACATAAAAGTAAACAAATAAAGGCACGCAGTCTATCTACAACTAAAAACAAACAACAACAACAAAAAAAAAACCTTAAAAAATAGGCCTTTACATAAAACAATAGAAATACCTAAAAGTTTTTTGTCATTAATTTTTTTTGGTTCTATTCTTTTAGACTCATAGACTATTGCCTTAAGCACGTCTGTTTTCTTGGTGAACAAGATATTGCTGCTCCTGCAACTCTGCTGTGGATCTTTTAGTTTGGCTAGGAAGCAGTGTCCACCTGTCCCATGCTACCCATTGATAAAGGACCATTCCTCCTCAAATTTACTAATCACCCTTCCCATCTTAAAGAACAGCTGTGTTGATACTTTTTTTTAAAGAACCTTTCTTTAGAAATAAAAACATAAGCATACACTGCTTTTGTTACAATGTTTGCTTTTGGTTATAAGGATCATGTTCCAAGAAAATCACAGGGCAAAGGAGGTATAGGGGGCTCCAGTCCTTCATGCAGGCTGCCTGGGTCTAAGGTTTGCATTTCTCTGTGTACATGCTCTACTTCAGATTTTTACTACCTTCTCACAGTTGTAAAGATCAAAATGATCAAACTGCTTCACAGAAAGACCACTGAACCTATTATGTGTTTTCAGGCAACAACTTTGATTTTTTTGTTCTGAGGAAACCACTGAAGGGTAAATTCCTTGTTTTGATAGGAATTCCTGGGGCTCATTTTTGAGAGACTTTTTGTGTAGTTGCTGTTTACAGTTGCACTTTGCCAGAGGTTGTTTTAGGCAGTTGCTAGGATGAGTAATGTGTATATGGATTGACTTTAAGCTTATCTAACAATCTCAGTTAAAAACATTGTGGTGGGTGGAGGAGAGGCATGTGTTGCCATCCATCTTTTAAAACTGAAGAGGGGTTTGGTAATTTTATGATAGTTTTATAATTCTTAAAAGATTTCATGCTGCTTATAGAAAAGAAGATTCAATGAAACAAAGAGCCTAAACCTGAAAGTTGATTTAAAAAAAAAAATAAACTAGAAATCATGTGAGGAACCATTTGTATCCCAGAAATATGTAAATAAATTTATTATCAAAATATAGCATTTGTAGAGCATGGATTTGACCCTTAAAAACTCAGCCAAATTTAATGGAGAAACTTGTAGTACTGAGTTTTCTACTCAAACTATTTATTTCCCCTTGTTATCAAAGTGAGACATTGTCATTAAGGAAAATGGAGAGGAATATAGAAAAGTAGAACACACACCACCCAACAGCCAGTTGCTGTTATACTACTAACTTTATCTATGTAATTTTTTCCTTGCATAGTTCATTTAGTTGTTGGTTTTGTGTGTGTATAAAATATTAAGCTCTTTTTTAATGACAGAATCACAGAAATGTTTCTACATTATTATAGTAATCTCAAACAAGATTTTTAATACCTGCACGATACTCCAGCTAACCCAGTGGTGTTCATCATGTGTTCACTGAGCTCTGAGCAAGACTCAAGGGTGCAGCAGCTGGAAGGGCAGGTTAGGGGAAGGGAAGAGGGGCTTCAGTTCCTGCTTTCGTCTATTTTACATACAGTGTTATGATTCGGTGAAAGATTTAATTTGAAGAAAGGATTTAAAAAGTTTGAAAACTATCCTCTAGTCATTTGCTTATCTATTCCCATATATGTGTGAATATGCATATGTACACATGTTCACATATGGTATACATTTGCTATTATAGATACTATTGTTAATATTGTCTTTATGCACAATGCTTTTTGTTTATGTGTAATTATTTTCTTAGGGTAGATTTTCCAAAATGAACTTTCTGGGTGAAAGGATGGCTTTATTAAATTTCTTGAAGCATTGTTAAATGCAATTGGTTCTTCTTTAACGCTTTCCACAGCCACTCTACGTAATTGTAAATTACATAATTATAAACTACATGTAATTTTTTAAAATGTGTCTCTTTTTTCAAAGTGAAAAGTAGTTTGTCATAGTTTAACCTACATTTCCTAGATCCTTATTAAGAATAAGACAAATTTAATATTATTTTTCTAAGTAGCTCCTTCTGAGAAGGAGTAAAAAAAATTACTAACAATCTTTTAACAGAATTTTAAGTTTTAAAATATCTGAGGTTTACTTTGAAATAAAAGTTAAAATTATATTAAAATAAGTTGCAATAGTACATACATATGGAGCCTACTTCAATTATAAAAATCAAATCATGAAAATAATTTAAGTAGTGCATTTGATCAAAACCATTTTTTAAAAATACTTACTTCTTTTAGTTGTAGACTAAAGTGTGGACACAGTATGTTTGTTTATTTATTTGTTTGTTTGTTTTTGTGTGGTGCTGAAGATGGAACCCAGGGCTTCGCAGCTCTACCGCTGAGCCGCATCCCCAGTCCCTCAAAAGCATTTTTATAAAGAACCTTTTTGACACTCTCAGGTTATGCATACATATCAAAGGATCTGCATTGATGAGCAAGTATTTTATGTATCTTGGTATTGCTATGAAACTTCTTATATAACTTAAAATAAAAATCTAAAAGTACGAAGATTCCCTCTGACCAAAGCTGACAAATACTGCATACAGAGGAGTTTGTTTTCCTTATTAACAAGAATAGCAAAACCAAACAAAACAGAATTGTATTTGCATCTGACAGAATAGAGATTGTAACTTTTGGCAGTACCCGATTGTGTTTGTATGTCTTCCCTTTCTTTTTTCAGGTATAAGCAACATAAAACTGACTTTGAAACAATTCCACAGCAGCGCCCCATTGATCTGCCTTGCCGAGTGACTGGCTGCCAGTGCAGGGCTTACCTTTTTGTGCCTTTGAATGGCACGCAGCCCATTCGATGCAGGTGCAAGCACTTTGCTGATCAACACAGCCCTGCACCTGGTTTTACATGCAATGCATGTAAGTTACACTATTATACATAGCCGCAGGTCGGTTGAATTTCTCTATTGAGTATTGAATGTGTCTTTGTACCAGTTTAATCAGGTACAGAGTCAATATTAAAGAGCTAAGCAGACTGGAATAGAGCACAGGAGGGAGGGTGTCTATGTGGGGCTAAAGTGACTGTGGTTAAAAGAGACGTGGATGAGGATAAGGAACTCAAGGAGGACCCTCATTAACTCATACATATTATCCAAATTATTCATGGCCCTGGATTATTCCTTATGATCATCCTATTTTATAAGAGTTTCAACCATGAAATTGCATTATATGTGGATTTACTTAACACAAAATATATATTTAATTTACTTACACAAAATATCTTTATTATAGGGCACAGTGGGGCACACCTCTAATCCCAGGAGCTGGGGAGGCTGAGGCAGGAGGATTTTGAGTTCAAAGCCAGCCTCAGCAATGGCGAGACGCTGAACAACTCAGGGAGACCCTGTCTCTAAATAAAATTCAAAATGGGGCTGGGGATGTGGCTCAGTGGTTGAGTGTCCCTGAATTCAATCCCCACTACTCATCCCCCACAATAAAATATCTTTATTAATGATCCAACCCTGACAGAAACAACTCTTCCTATTCTTCTTTTCAACAAAAGCCTAAGAGAGGAGGAGTCAAATGAGCATTCACATCACATCAGTTCATTCAGGAAATAAATCAGAGCACCTACTCTGTCCTAGGCACTATCATTCCAGGCACTGAAATATAGTGGTAGGC